ATATATTGGTAAACAGTCTCCTAGGAACCTAGCTTCAAAGTTTCATTGCTGAATCATGTTGATTTTCCAGGGTATTACTCATGGAGAAACCCTGGGCGCGGCTCCTGGTTTGTCCAGGCGCTCTGCAACGTCCTCAACGAGTTCGGCAAGCAGCTGGAGATCATGCAGATCCTGACGCGGGTCAACTACATGGTGGCCACCAGCTTTGAGTCCTGGTCTGAAGACCCACGCTTCAGCGAGAAGAAGCAGATTCCCTGCGTGGTCTCTATGCTGACGAAAGAACTGTATTTCAACTGACCGCCAGCTGAAATGACTGTACTGTACGACACCGCTGACTGACTCGACTGACCGACTCGACCGACTGTTTCAGGTACCGACTAAGCGGTCAAAGCATTCAGGGATGATTCAGGCCCAGCAGGACACTGCACATTTGGAGCACATATGACATTTTGCATGTGTAGTTGGGCCCGAAAAACAGGCACTCCGTGAAGGAAAGAAAAAAATATTTACAGTGGCACTCTGCGTTCATGTGTTGATGGTGAAACTTCTTCCTCTTCTTCAGGTTATTCTTCGGAATAATGGCGTCACATTTGATCTGATCTTTTCTTTGACAGGCATTGTGAAATATTTATGTTACTCCACCGGCCCGGAAAATTTGCTGCCAGTTTTTTGTGGGTTCGGTGGAATCATATCTGAATATGTGTCTCTCCATTTTCCAGCATTGGTAATAGATGTTGAAAGGAAATGTACAGAGCAGTCAGGAGTCCTCGGGCTAAAAACGGCTCTTGCATTTATTACACGAAATGGGTTTTGAATATTTGAAGTAATTTACATTTAGTGTTCTGAGAGAAGTCTCTCCAGAAATAGATCATAAACCTGCCTAATGCAGTCCAGTGCATTTGTGCAGTGTACAATACTCTGTCACCATTACACAGGAAAATAAATTGGAAACCAGGTTTGAAAGCCTTTAGAAAGTCTATAGAAATCCCCACTTGAAAAGCAGACAGTGATTACAAACCTTTTGATTGCCATAGGAGACACAAGGGAGCTGCTTTAATTACAAACCCCGTCTGATGCATTGTTAGAGGGGGGAAAAAGCATTTGGAAAATGGATCACATCATTTTCAGCTATCTGTGTTTCCACGTTTTCAGCCGTCAATTGTCAGAGACAACAGAAAAAGACAACACTCCTCTGAGCAGAAACACGTGACGACGCTTTTTGCCAAAGGCTCAGTGTCTCAGCCTTCCTAGCAAGTTTAAGTCGGTAGCAGCACGCTGGCATCCTCAGGTTCTTTAATGTCCCATGAAGTGGGTTAATGTCATGTTAAAGAATGTCATATACGTATGGCTAGGAAGGTGTGATCTTTTTGCTGTGTAGTGATTAGTTTCATGAGATTTTGGGTCAAGTGCATAGTACATAGTCCACTCCTACAAAAGCAAGGATTATTTGCAATTTGCCAGTTTTCACAGGCCGACGTCGGAAGACTTCACTTGCTTGTCGTTACACTCCAAATAAGTGAAGTTTGTGTAATTGCATATAATCAAAATGACGCAGTTGTCTTATTAGTCAGGGTCCAATGAAACAGTTATGAATTTCCCTTTTTCAGTCTTTGAATTTAGACATTCCTCTTTGATAACTTTAACAGGATACATGCTGTAGGATACACTTGAAAGAAGACTTAAAAATGTCAAACACTGTGTCATAAACTTGGGAAATATCATAGTGTAAAGCTGGACTAGGGCCCAAAGCACAAATGCCACATCATTTCACTGTATATTAGTGTTGTACATTGTCATTACACACACACTACACTCTGATAAGAGGCACCCAGCAATGTCTTTCTGTTTTTTATTTTTAAAATCCATCTTTGATTTCCAAAGATTTAAACACCCAATAAAAAAAAAAGAAAAAACATTTATTTTATTTGTAAGCACTTAGTGCACTTTTTAGGATCAGTATTGCATAATTTATCCAATGATTGAGTTTTGTGGTAAAATATAAATCTTTTTAATCCGATAGACATTTGCTGATGGTCATTTCAACTCACACGAAGTTTGTTTCTGCAAATATGCTGTTATCGTGCCAAAGTCTGTCAATCACAGAGGCAGCTATTACTGGTGGTGACAAGTCTGAATCATACACAATCCACATGTCCGCAAACACACACTCTCATTGTTGCTGCAATGTTTTTACATGATTCACATGACTGCATGTATCAGTAACTTAAGGGGGAAAAGTTCAGCAATAGCTTTAACGTGTCAAAATATTTCCCCCTTTTCACTCCTTGTATTTTTTATCAGTTGTTTTTTTTATTTTGATAACACTATTACATAAGTGTGATCAATACTGGCTTAAAGGGACGGTTCACCCCAAAATCAAAACTACATATGTCTTCTCTTAACTTTAGTGCTGTTTATTAATCTAGATTGTTTTGATGTGAGCTGCAGAGTGTTGGAGATTTCGGCTGTAGAGATGTCTGCCTTCTCTGGAATATAATGAAACAAGATGGCACTCGGTTTGAGGTGCTCAAAGCGCCAAAAAATACATTTGAAAAACTCAACATCAGTGTCTCTTTCCAGAAATCATGACTCGGTTACTCAAGATAATCCACAGACCTTGTGAACCGAATCAGGTGTGCATCTACTCATGGATGAGAGGCTACTGCTAGCTCACCTGAGCTAGTTAACGTGACAGCTTAGCTGGAGAGGACGCCATTAATGTTTGCATCTTGCGCTGTCACAAGCACAAGTCTCCTATCCTTGAGTAGATGCACACTTCCTTCTGTGCGATGTTGCAGTTGCAGGTGTTGTTTGGTAGAATGAAAATAATATTTCAGACATGAAACTGCTCACAACAAGGTCTGTGGATTATCTTGAGTAACCAGGTCATGATTTCTGTAAAGAGACATTGCTGTTGTATTTATTGTATTTTTTGGCATCTAGTTCCATTATAATGAGATAAGGCAGACATCTCCAACACTCTGCAACTAACACCAAAACAATTTAGATTGATAAATAACACAACAGGTAAGAGGAAAAATATGTATTGCTGATTTTGGGGTGAACTATCCCTTTAAGTACGAGACATGTCCCATTCTACACCCAGTGCACTTGTCCAATACAGCCACAACTCTCGACACATGGATCTCTGATCAGTGATGTGGTGCCCAACCTGTGCTGAAAGGAGTGTTTGCTCCACTTGTTTTGCATTGGAATTGAAGGAGGGGAGAAAAAAATAATATATATATTTTTAAGGGTAAAATTTTAAATGCTTTCCGGTGTTAAATGCTGTTGTCCTCAGGAATATATTTGAAAAGATTTGGAAAAAAATGAATGAATGAATTACATTGAAAGTATAATCTGGCCCAATTTTCTTTTTAATTTGGGGCAATACCTTGTTTAAATATCTTCAAAACAGACGAATGCTTATGTAAACATTTTATTGTATTAAACATAAAGAATTTATTCTGTAATGAGCTGTCATTTTTCTTGCACATTCGCAAACACAGACCACATTGAAAGACTTTTTTTACACAAGGAACATATTTGTAATATGGTTATGAATAAACTAAATATCACTTTAAACCAATATTGAGAACAATGAAAACTTAATAGGTTCATTGGTAAAAAATAAAGCCCAATAAAAAGCCTTTTAGTTTAAGTCAAAGGATAAGGCTTGTGTTATTTCTCATTTTTTCATCAACTAAAATGATGAAAACCAAAACCAACAAAGATTGCTTTTGTGAACTCTTACTTCAGCAAACGTGTATTCATCCACAGCTGAAAATAGTCCCTAAGCAATGCATAGGTTACCTCTATTTGGGTAATAATTGATACAGTGCCCTGCAGTTTTAGAAAATTACCTTATATATATGTAACAGGGTCAATCATACAGCAGTAATATGTGTAACAAAGTCAAATCTGCATGTTTAATATTAAGTATTATATTTACACAATATGTTTTGCTTTACCTGACTTGCTTCGGCTTCTGAACTCAATATGTGAAACGTTTAACACAGTTTTTTTACCCCTACGTTCACCTTTGGGGGTACCCCACCCTTTTGCTGCTGTGCTCTGTGGGAGAAGGGCTCGGGTTTGTATGTTTGTTTTATTTTTGCCACTTGCTGTCAGGAGAGGAATAAATGGAGATCGCCTCTGAAGATATCCACAGGTTGGGCCTCTTTATATCAACACAATGCAGACATCATTACAGCCCACTGGTTACATATATATGAAACTAAATCTGTGCCCAAGATTTACAACTTCAGTAGGACGCAATGATCTTGGGGCCGAGAGCCACAGAGAGAGTGGGAGAGTTCAAAAGTATTGAGAGGTGGACTAACGACCCAATCACCAGAATAAATGAAGGCATTGTACATTAATGCAAACCACAGATACATTATGCAGTGAACATGCTTAAACTATTTTTCAACAATGCTTTGTTTAACACATGGTTAAGTTTAGGCACAAAAACCAGTTGGTTATGGTTAGAAAAAGATAATGTTTTGGCCTAAAATACCCATTTTTGTGACACAATCTTGGCAGGAAAAGCAGCAATGTCTTGGTAAAAAATAAAAATCACTTTTCATGGTACTATCCTTGGTGGAAAAACTAGAAAACACCCATGTTTGGTGGCTAAAAGCAACTGAAAACACCGATGACTCGCCATAAAACAACCAGTTTTGCTGTTTACTGGTCTCAGCAGTGCTCTGCAGTTTGACAGGTGTCTCGCCCAGGTGACAGACCATCCACCATCACCTCCACCTTTAGATGACAAAGTCAGCTCATATACGTAGCTACATTAAAGTTAATATGATACGTATGAAACACACAAATGTAACATATCTGTGGTTTGCAGAGACGTACAATGCCAGCATGGCACGTCCAGCTGGTAGGAGGCCCCGGGGCAGACCCAGAATAAGATGGAGGGATTATATATCTCATCTGGCCTGGGAACACCTCCTCCCTAAGAGGAGCTGGAAAGCATTGCTGGGGGGAGGGACGTCTGGAGTTCTTTGCTGAGCCTGCCAGCCCCAGATAAGCGGATGAAAATTGATAGATGGATAGATGGACAATGCAAGCAATTCTGACGACTGGCATTTGGCATTTTAATAGGATTTGTTGACAACAGAACATCACCAGCTTTATCCTTTAAATTCAATTTGCTAAGTAATAGTAGACACATCCAACTTCTTGATGAGTGTTAAAAAGCAGATCTATCTTATGAAATAATTGTATCATTATTTCTTAATTAAAGGCCTCTCTTACCAGCTCAACATCTGTTGGAATTCCCTGATTCATCACAGCATTTAACATAAAAATTTAAAAAGGAACACTTTGCATGAGTATGAAAGACAACATGTCAGCTTCACTATATCCATGGAAAAGAAAAGCATGATTGACTGGAAATGACCCACACCACCTGTGAATCAAAAATAGAGATCACTTTAAAATGTCCTTTAGGCAAATTTAGACGAGCCTGACACGCACAGCATCCTGAGCTGATGACAGTGTCACCAATTATGTCAGATCAGGCAGCTGATGCGCATGCCCCACAGCGCAGTGCATTCCTGGCTGTCACTGCCCCTTCCTTCCTGCCCCGTCCTTCCTGTCCCACATCAGAGAACAGGAGCTGATCGGGAGGCATCACAAATCTTAAGGGACGTCCAGTTTGTGCCTTCATTGTCATGCCCAGGACATAATGCTTGATGCAGGATGTCAGTGAAGGTCCCAGCGCTGAAGCAGTAGAGGGGGGTCATTGTATCAGCTCCCAGAAAGCACACCAACCCCCCAGGGAAGCTGCTGTAAACCCCGATACGAGTGAACTGTTTTCCTGTCAGCAGAGGCAGCTCACGCTGAACACCACCGTGCCAGGCTGTGTAGTCTCCGTTAAAGTACTCCACACACCACGACTCTTTGCCTCGGCCCAGCCACGAGTCCTCGTCGCGGCCCTTGCGTGGGATGCTCGGGTAGGTGAGCCCCAGCTCCCAGTAGGTCTTCCCGCTCACATCCACTTCCCAGTACTGGCGGCCCTCGCTGAAGCCTTGCTGGCTGACGACATTTAGGGTGGTGTCAAAGCGGGAGGGAGTCTCTGGGACATCCTGCCAGGTGTCTGTGTAGGTCACTGAGTCACCTTTGGGAGAGATGATCAGCTTGGGGTGAGCGGTGTCGGCGTCAAGGACAACATCTGCGGCGTCTGTGTAGCAGATATCAGAAGGATCAGTGTCATGTCCTTCACAAAACTAGTTGACAGTAAGAGCTGGAGGCTATATATGTCAATCTAGAACTCACAGGTCTGAAACAGTCTCTTGGTGACAGGGACCTGGGATCTGATGAACAGCAGCAGGTTGATCGTGAGACTCAGCAGTTGTTCGTTCTTGAACTCGTCCATCTGAATCAGGTCAAGGTCAGTCAGCTTCAGAGTCTCAGATACTCTAATTTCAGACAGAGCTAAAGTTTAGGTGCTTGAAAGTTCAACTTTGTAGCAAGCTGGTATTTCCTGAAATGCTAATGTACCTTTTTTCTGTTTCAGCGTTCTGTAGATGATACAAACACAACACATAGTTAGGTGTGTGACAGTACGCCCTGTAAGCTGCATGAAATTTGTCCTTTGTGTTTACCTGTGTTTTCACTTGGGCATCGACGTTGGACAGCTCCTGGTCCAGCTGCTGAGTGAGGTGGTAACACTCCTCTATCCTGTCCTCCACCAACTTCTCTGAGGCCTCACACTCTGTGTCCAGCTGGGTCAGTGTGATGTGAAGATCCTCATCCAGGACCTTCTTCATGTCCTCGTACTTTTTCTTGATTTTCTCCTTCACTGCATTTGTCTTTTTCTGAGGTGAAAGAGCGGTGGGAGTTGAAACAACATACTACAGTGTATGGGCAGCAAATCCCACTTTGAGGACCACTGATGTAATCACCTGTGAACACGGTAGGGCTACAACCAAGGGTGTAGGTTTCGTTTCAACACTGAGGAAGAAACATATGAAACAGGGAGGTTTGGCCAGAAAATTTAGAGCATCAAACACTTTTTTATAATTACAATTTTATATTAATTTTTTTATACACCAATCTGTGCCTTTTCTATATCTATTTACGGTGTAAACATCTTTAATTTTGTCAAAATAAAGTCCTCTGCTATTTTAGTGTTTTACTAGAAGGTCAAATGCACATGTTCTAAATATTAAGGAGGGCATGTTCCCTGAGTCCCCCCTGAAATCTACACCTATGACTACAACTGATTATTTTCATTATCAGTCAATCTATCAATTGATGTCTTCAGATAACTTGTTTTGCTTTATCAACAGCACAAGAGCACAAATAATCACTTTACTCTCACGTAAGATGAAGAAAAACAGCAAATCACAATTAAAAAGCTTAAACTTGTAAAAAAAAAAAAAAAAGAATTACAGATTAATTAAAGACTAATTGAGTAGCTGACTATTTTCAGTTCAGTTTTAGATCACAGTATGTTACAGTAATTGGGCCCAGTGGTGGAATCCAACAGAGTACTAAAGTACTGTTCATAAAAACACTTTTGAGATAAAAGAGAGAGACGACTGGTTGTTCTGTATATACAAACATAGATCAAAATCTTGTGTCAGGTGCTCGTGGAGAACGGGAAACAACAGGATCGACCAGAAGGCAATCCAGACACTCCGAAAAAATATATAGAAAAACAAGGAGGGAAATAATTAAAAGCCTTTATTGCTGTGGCTGAATCATTTAAAGAACCAACATGTTTCAACCACTGCAGGTCTTCGTCAGGGCATTGAAACATACAACGCAGGTATGACAGCTATGACAAATCACAAATCATTTTTCTATTGGAGTGCCTGGATTGCCGTCCTGTCGATACAGTTATGAGGTATTTGTACTCTACTTGAGTATTTTAATTTTTTGATATCATACTTCTACTACATTTGGGAAGCCAGTTGTGTACTTTTTACTCCATTTATTTTACAGCATTAGTTCCTTTGCAGATTCAGATTATTAGTTCAAATATAACAAAATAAAATTATGCATTATTATATTATTAAAGATAAAACTTTATTGATCTCTTGGTGAAATTCACAAGCCAGCCAGTAGTATATATAGTAAGAAAAAAATTAACCCCACTTATACCAGCTGCAAATTCATTCATTTTATTAGTTCATTAAAAATAGCCTATATAATATTCTGAAATGGGCCATTCTGCATAATAAGTACTTTTACTTTTTGTTCTTTGAGTGTATTGTGATGCTAATATTTGTGTACGTAAGTAAGATTTTGAATGCAGGACTTTTACTTTTCATTTTAACTGTTTTTATGGCATTTTTTAGGTAATCTGTACAAAAGGAACACAGCACATGGGCAAACAGTAATAAAAAGAACAAGTAGGTGAGGTAAATTACTAAAAACAAATCAATGGTAAGATCAATAATAACAGTAAAATGGACAAATAAGAGAAAATAAATTGAAATAAATTAAATACATAAGTAGATAACTGAATATAAACTAAATCAAGGGGGTGGGGCTGAAGGCCCTATTCAGTCAATCTGGCACATGGAAGGTTCTTAAAGTAATCCAGGAGGAGCTGTTACGCCTTGTAGTATTTTTTAATAGATCCCTGACTGCAATATCTCAGCTCTTCTAGCTTTAGGTGTACCCGACGGGCATGTGAAAGTGGAGCCCTGTCCTTCCACTTCAGGAAAATTAATTGGCTGACCAAAAGGGACGCAAAAGCCATGGAGTTTGATTGGCTACTTGAAAGGGACGAGCCTTCTGGAGCTACCCCAGGCACAGCAATTACAAGGTACGGTGCTATATATTACGACCATACATCTGTGAAAGAGTTTCAAATATAGAGCAAAATGAGGCAATTAAACGACAGGAGAAAAATGTGGTATAGGGTAACGGGTCGCTTTTTTTTCAGGTCTTATCAGGTCACCTAATTCTCAATTCTTCTTCCCAAGCACTCTTCAGATGGTTAAGAGAGGGGCTGTTGTATTGCTGCTTTTACTTAAGTGAAAGATCTAAATTCTTCTTTCATAGAACACAGAGAGTCTATAGAGTGCAATAAATAAAAATAATACAGTTTAACGTGAAAAAATGCAAAGGGGAAAGCTAGGACGACCCAAACAAACAGGCTGAATAACAGAGATGTTCAAAAGTGCATTTCAGAATCCATAACTCATTTAACCTTGAGGCGAGTGTGCTACAGCGGCACAAGGACATGCTCTTTGTTCCACCACTGGGAGCTACAATCAGATTAGACAAGTGAAAAAAATCCTGTCAGGTCACACAGCCACGGTGATTTTAGGACTCCTGGGATGTTTTGGAACATCATGTTTACAGACAGTGACACTGATGGAACAGCTTGGACCAAGACTCCTGTTCATTGATTTAATCCACAAAAATGCACCAACATTCATTTAATTTGAGCTCGTCTCAAAGTCAAAGTTTCCACCATGTTGTCCCACCATGTTGGGATTTAGCAGGCGTTGAATAGTACTAGCCTGCAGGCTAATAGCAAACTGAAGGTACGAATATTTTAAGTCATGACAGATGTCAGCCAGCAATTTGTTCTGTGTTGTGCTTCTACTCACAGCAGAACAGCAGGTTATTAAATGGTGTGATATACTTACTGTTATCTCCACCTGCTTAGCTGCCAGCTTCTTCATCCTGTAGGCGACGGCATCTCTCTGTCTCTGCAGGTGCTGCTGATGTTTCAAGAGGATTTCCTTTGAACCACACAAATAAAAACGATGAAGAACTGCAGGTAAAGTGAACAAAAGGCTAAAGGTGGTGGGTCTTCTCAAAAACAACCCAAAGTGGAAGTTCGTACTCTGTGTGGCCTTCTCTCCTACCTTACTGTTCATTTCCTGTGTAGTGTAGATTAAACTCCACTGACAGGTTGCAACACAACCGCGAGGGTTTTTATAGGCCTGTCACAGATGTGAAGGTTTTGTTGTAGGGGAGGGGGGAGCACAGAATGGCGGCCTTGTCTGTGTCTGTCCTGGTGCTCTTGTAGACACGTGCTTTGTTTTATTATGGTGGGAACATGAATCGGAACTTTGAGGACGGGAAGAAGCAAACAAGGTTTTGTGCAGAGAAGGGCAAACAGACCATAAGCTCTATTTATAGTGCGCTGACACTGACCTTGATGTTTGTGTGTGTGTGTGTGTGTGTGTGTGTGTGTGTGTGTGGCCAACATAAACATTTGAGGAAGTTTATGAGATACTGATGTTGCTTTTGTGGCCCATGGATAATTTATATACAGAGCTTTATCACCGGCGCACAGCGTGATTGAAGTGCATCTCTTACCCTGAGACAGCAGAATTAGCCTCAGCAGATGTCTCTTTAAAATTCTTACCGTGACCTTTATGACCTTTTACATGCATAGCACAAATGGCCCGCGCATTCAAGCAGGGGAGAATGCAGGCACGACACAGCAGGGCCACACGACTCCGACTGAGCGCTACATCGACTGTGACTGACACGCACATTTGACTGCTGCTGTTTTATCCCAGTGTAGCTGTTGAGATTATGTGTTCTTATTTTCAGTTGTTTCCTATTTTATTGTCTCTCATTTAAGATACTTCACTTCCCGCCTGTGTGATTACCCTTCTCGCACTGATTTGTTTCATTACCATGCCAACTTTGTGTATTTTGCCTGTGTCATCCCCTTTGTCTGTGCCAGCTTGTCTTCACTGTTTCAGTAAGCGCTCCAGGAGTCACTCCTTGTATGTTCCTTATAGTCTTTATTTTGATTTAGTCTCTTACTTTTTGGGAAACTATCTTGATTTTCTGGACTGACTCCTGTGTGCTGAGATCTGATTCCTCCAAATAAATAAATTAAATAAGTATTTCACAACTGGTAAGATGGTCATTTCATAAAACTACACATACTACCCACATTATTATGATACCAAGCTGGTTGAAAATTGGTGAAGTACCCCTTTAACTTTTCATAGTGTTTTTGAGTCGTGCTTTTGAGTCCCTCATTCGTTGTTGCCTATACTTCCTGATAGGTGCCAAGTGGTTATCAGCAGTGTGTGGCTGTAACGCGTTACCAGTAACGTGTAGTAGACCCTACGACCCTATTACACTTGTGCAGTGGTTTGTCTGTGTAACTCTGCAGTTACACCTCCAAAACACTTGTCGGCGGTGGAGGTTTCTGTTAAGTGCTGTAAAGTTTAATTGATTCAAAACACACATTAAATATGGCTTAATAGAGACAATTTCAAACACAAGTACAAAAATTGGCCATATATTATAACTCGCAGCATTCACAAACAAACACTTGTCTTTATCTGGACACATTTTCCCCACAAATACAACATGCTAACGTTATTAGCACAAACCTATGGCATTTTACATGGTATAAATTAGCCTAGCAGCTAGCGACCTCTTCCTCTTCTCATATAAAACCAGGGACAACAGCAACATTTAACAAAGGTAACGGTACATAATTTGGCTCCGTTACAACTCACAGGGTTCACTGCCAAACCAACTGTCTTATACTAAAAGTTTTCCAAGCAAATACAACATGCTAACGTTATTAGCACAAGCCAATGGCATTTTACATTGAATAAATTAGCCTAGAGGCGATCTTTTCTTCTTCTCATATAAAACCAGGGACAACTATAACATTTAACAAGGTAAAGGTACATATAGTTTGGCTCCGTTATGGTTACAACCCAAAGTTCACCGACGAAACAACTGTCAGTAAAATGTATTTTTCCAGTAACGAGTAGTGTAACCAATTACTGATGAAATTTCAGTAATAACATTACAATTACTCCGAAACAAAAAAAAAAAAAACGTTAGACCGTTTTAGTTATCGTCGTGCTGCGCGCGCTCCTCGTAAAGCAGCTAGCTAACTTAGCTAGTTGGATAGCTAGCTAGTTGGAAAGGTTACCTTAGCGGCTGGAACTGTTCCCGTTACTTTGGTTTTGTCAGGAGGAAAGATGACAAGAACACTGTTGCTGCAGGTAGTTCGACTAAAACTTTTTTTTTCTACTGCAAAAAAAAAACAAAAAAAAAACATAGAATAAAACACGTCCCAAACGTCCGGTCTGAAACACTACTACAACCGACAACATAACAATGTGAAGCTCCAGGAAATACACCCCATCAAAGGTCTTGGGAAAATACTGGTCACAGGCAGCAGACACCCCCAGGTAAATAAAAGCTAACTAGCATTAGCTACACTTAATGGTGATTACCCTGACATCCATACAGAGGCACACATCTGAATTTTGGGGAGATATGCAATTACCAATTTTATGGGGTGTAACGGAAAAGTAATGTAACAAGTAGTATAACGAATTAGTGTTGGCAGTGAGTAATAAGTAAGGTAATATTAATATTACCTTGAACTAATGACTAAGAAGAAATCTGGACCCTGTGGCTGGACCAGTTGGCAACCAGTGATCTAAAGTGATTAAACACATATCTGACTGACATTTAATTGAACTACTGCTGACTATCTCTGAAGGGGTAGTTTAGGTGACAAACACATTTGTGAACTGGTAAACCCACTGAACCTACCATAAGTCACCTGTGTGTTTTGAGGTCATATTTATTTAAGTTGCTGCCCCTGCAGCACTCATCAGTCTTCATGAGATGTCAACCAGTAATTCATCTGAGGTCAAAAGCTGGCATCAATCTTTTCTTTTGTCTCCACAGCTCTTGAATGTGGTGCCTTATTATTATTAGTTTTTTTTTTTTCTCACAAAGACATTTCACTCAAAATTGTTTGGTTCCTGAGTGATGTTTTTGGCGTGGGCTGAGGTGCTGCTGTAACACAAAGAACTTTTTAAGCCCCTGTATTGTGGGTCATGGTCTAAAAGTGGGTCAGGGGTCCATTCTGAATGGACAGCAACTTTGTAAAAAACACACTCTATTTTTAAGTACAGTAAATTTTGTCATGGTCAAACGAAAGTATGACGCTGCACGTATTAAACTGTGAGACCTCAAACTGATGACTGAGGAGAAATCTGGACCCCGTGGCTGCACCAGTTGGAAACCACTGCTTTAGAGGTTCTGTTCTGGTTCTTCATCTTAAGTTTACAACCAGAAGAATCAAAACACTACATTAAAATAGCCTACAAACTGTGACTTTCCGAAACATAATACATCAAAACAGTGGCTCTCATCCTTTTGCCCCCATGTGCATGAACTATATTGCAATTAATAAGCATCCATCCATTTTCATTTGATTATCCAGGGCCAGGTTGCGGGGGCAGCAGGCCAAGCAAAGCACCCCAGACGTCCCTCTCCCCAGCAACACTTTCCAGCTCCTCTTGGTGGACCCCAAGGCGTTCCCAGACCAGACAAGATATGTAATCCCTCCAGCGTGTCCTGGGTCTGCCCTAGGGCCTCCTACCAGTGGGATGTGGCCGTAACACCTCTAACGAGAGGCGCCCAGGAGACATCCTGGTCAGATCACTGATGATGAGATCACTTTTCCTGATCAGGATAATCATTCATATTATAAGTAACAGTGTCACTTAGAAGCATATTGACTTGTCCATGGGATGATTTGGCATCATTCAAGGACCTGCAGGCTCAAAACTTTTTATCTGTTGAATGTAAGGTGTGTGAATCTCTTGGAGTTATGACATGTTACAGAGCAGTATATTCTGTAATCTGCATAAATCTGCACGCCATCTTATTTCCTGAAATGTAAAAACCATAATATATTAATAAAAATATTCTGCATGTTTTTATCAGGTGGAGCGAGGTCCTTAAGGAACCCCGCTGTGGAATTCTACAGCTAAACAACATGGCAGGAAGACCTTAAAAGCAACTGAGGAGGAACCAGAAACTCCAGTTCCCAGTATGAATATCTCCTCACTGTGTGCCAGGTGTGGGACGGCTTACAGCTTCCTCATGCAGCAACACCTATTGTTATAGAGAGCAAGGTGAGCAGACTCTCTCAACAGGTGCTCCACAGGTAAGAATATTATGGGTTTCTTTGTCTTTATAGCCAGTGTATTTATTTCATATTGTGTATGAGTTATTTGTTTTATTACCTATTTGAAATGTTTCCACTCTCCTACACACATTTGGGTCTGTTTTAGAGAAATGTTAAATTGTGTGGACGTTAACAAAGGTATAAGAGGGCGATGAATTCTCTTGAGTTTTATGATACTTTATGTTTGTAGTTATACTTTTTAAATTACTGCACATAGGCCTTAAAAGACCATAAAATGTCTTTAAATCAGTAAGTATTAAGATGAATTCTGATTTGTTTTTCCCAAACATGTACACCTGCACCTTAAAGTGAACAGAGCTCTGTTTCATGCTGTGGTTCGCTGAGGCATGAGTCTATTTTTAAACCCGACATTATTTGTTTAAAAGGTTAACTATTTCCTTCTGGATATTTTTATGCTGTTTGAAGTGGCAGAGACTGATACATTCCTGTGTTATTTTTTGTTTAGGTGTGGTGTCACGATGCACAGGAGCAAGAGCACAGGTAGAAGTCTGCTTTGTGGTTTGATTTAGGTGTTATTTATTATTATTTATGTTGGTGCCACATTCTGAAAACCTGTTCTTACAGCTGATTTTATCAAGTCGCTAAAGATTCATTGACAAGGCAAGGTGGAATGTGCTAGTGTAATGTCTGTTTAACACAGTTATTAATAGATTGTCTTTTGTTTAATCTGCGTTTTTAATGTTTTTTAGTTCATTCTCCCTCTTTAAATCGTTTGCTGATTTCCCAGATAGCACCTACAGGAAAATAAAGCTAAAGAGTTCTGCAAACTAAGACAAGATTTAAAGGAAATGATTTCAAAACAATAGGCTTTTCTTTTGCCCTCAGGCGGAAGTGCGGTGTTCTACAGACCAGTTGGAACTACAACGGAAGTGAGATCTGGATACCTGTTCAAGTCTCCTCCCCAAAAACGGTTGAAGGCAGAGGTGAAGGAGTTGGCACAATGGAGGCACTTAATTGCAGCTCTTTATGTGTGTTTGTTTTTAAAATTAAATTTCATTATTAATTAAATCATTTTCATCATGTTTCTCTTGCAGAAATCATGGAAGAAGAGGTATTTTGTGCTGTTCAAAATCAGTGAGCAGGAACACCTCTTGAAGTACTTCAGGAGTCCAGCAGAAAAGGACAGGCCTCTTGGAGGCATAGACTTATCGCAGTATGTTCCCACATATCAATCCACTGATAAATAATTACTCTAATGTATGTAAAAGATGTTTAGTATAGATCTGAGTATCATTTGCGTCCCTCTGTCAGCATCTCACTGTTGTACGTGAGCCCTCAAAACCATCCAAGATGGGCGTGGGTGCAAAAGAGCTTCAAGTGCTCACCATCCTGTGTGCTGTACATCAGGGCGGCCAACCGGGACTACTTCCTCGTCGGGGAAACCAGGTCAGTCAGCTATTTTTTGTTTTACAGGCAATATAAAGCACTGAGAAGGAATTTATAGCTCCTTCAGCAACTTCCATGCATTTTACGATACTGTACTGTAAAAAGACCTGAAATACCACACTCGAGGTAGATACACACAGGGGTGTGTGGCACTTCCTATAGGTGAATTAGGGGGCTGTATAGGGGCCCTGGATGCACTAGCGTGTCTTCTTTTTTACTCAACAAATATACTTGATAGTTAAGTCGATATTTTTGGGATATGTGAGAATAAAGAATCTTAATTAAAAGCCTGTTATCAGTTCTCTGTGAACTTTAATCCTAGTTTATCAGGGTTATTTTCAAAATAAAGCTCAGTTGTGCATAAATGCAGCTTTTTACACTAGCATACATTTTTCAGAAGAGTTCGGTTTTTGATTTTGTCATGATAATGTGCAGATAAACCACCCTAGATACATGGGCTGCATTAATTTGAAAGTCAGTGTAACCAGGACTCACTGGCCACACAGCTGGGTCGGCCAGTCCTCCTCTCTTTTCCCCCGCTGACACTTTCACAGCGCCTCATTAAACATTTCCACCTGCCCTTCAAGTCATCGACTATTCTGGGAGTTTTGACAATCAGAAAGAAATTATGTTGCTTTCTTGTTTAGCAACAGTCCATCAGCTGATAATGGCTTTACCTTCCTCTCGGCTCGCTCCAAATCGTTGCTAAATGTCACCATTTCCACTTTGTATTCGATTTTGAAAATGAATTTTCAAAATAAATGTAATAGCCGTCATTTGTGGAGACTTAGAATTAGGTTTCAAAGTGATTCATTTGCCCTTTCTTGCTTTTAGCGAGGAAGTGGACGGCTGGTTCTCTGACCTGTTTGAAGCCCTGAAAAACCGGCCGCATAAATGTATGAATTCAGAGGTACATTGAGATTTTAGTTCTTTATCATGTTTTTTAACAGCTTATTGAGACAAAGCGTCTCTTGCACTGCACTTTGTTTTGTATTTTTCATGTTTTTTGACCACTGTCAGCGACTGAATAATTGTTTTTTGTCTCTGCTAAAGGACATGACAAATGGACAGCAGACAATTGAGGTAAAGTCTGTTTCTCATCTGTTGACCACAAACATTAAATAAGTGCTATAGCATTATGGAAAATACATTTAGGGCACAGTTACACATGCAAAATTGGTGAATATTCGCCTCCCTTTTACTTCTATTCAGGGGCAATAAAACATTTGCTTCTGGTGGCAAAGCAAATTCACATATTTGCATCTTGCACAGTTCAACTTTGGTGAACTTTGACTAATGAAAGATGCAGCCTTAACCAATTGCAAAGAAGCATGAATGGAGGAAACACTGATGTTGTCGTCTCTAACCAGCTGATATTGACGAATGCTAGTGCTAACAAGTTTAATCATCTAATCATCCAATTTTTTCCTCTTTAACTCCTAAATATTTGCTTTACCTCAGATTTATTTACTGCTGTCAACCTCTGCCTCCATGCTCTCAGAACTTGCTCAGTCTAAATTCCCTCAGTGCCCCTGCCGAACGCAACACTCAGCCCTGGAACAGTGACATTAATCATCTATTGTCCATGCTAATCAATCAACTCTCTATTTGACTTTTGAAAATAGACTCTCTTCCTGTTTCTACCAGGTTATTTCAAACCCACTATTGCGGAGAAAGCAGAGCTCTGACGCTGTGTCTGAAAAGGTTGGTCCTTTATGTTGCAACTAAAGCTCTGCATGAATTTGGCTAAACTTCCTAAATGCATGCATCCTGTCGATCTGATACTAGATCCAAATCATCAACGCTGCCGACATCAGTCAGTCATGACATTCCTTTGTGTGAATCTGTTTGATGGGTCGGTTTCTTTTTGGGCAAGGAAAGACACGTGAATCCATGTATCCTTACTATTGAGCTGTATATAAATTATCGACACAACCTCTACATATAGACATCGTTTTAGAGACACACATGGGGCTCATTAAGTCAAGAGTTAAGAATGACATCACTCACAAAATGTAAGAATGATTAACTCTCATTTAATATCAACCCGGGTTAATATACAGCAGCTTGTTGTTGGTTTATCCAGGTGAAACTCAGATCCATATCAGTGAAATGACCCCCACAGGATTTTAAATATTGTTCCTTATTGACTGACTGTTACGACTCATGCACCCAGCTACATTAGGTTAAACCCATCTGACCCAGGGACACTGAGATGAATGGACTGAAAGCAACACACTGCACATTTTCACTGGGATTGCTTTATTTGTGTGAAGAATAATCCAAGCACATGAATATCGTCTATATACTTTAATGTATTTGTTTTTTTCTTATTCAGGCAGCGTTGAAAATTCGGTCCATGTCCGACCCATCCTCAAATGCCATGGATAACGACACTGAAAACTCAAAGGTGCTTCACTTGACTGCTTGTAAATATTCAACATAAATCTTATTCAAATGACAATTATTTAAGAGATATGATGGAGGACTGTACTGTTTTTTTGGTTGCATAAAGTATGTCATATTGCTTTGTGACTGGACAGCAGGATGACGATTATGCCAAAAGACGTGCATCAGCGCCAGTGAATCCAATCTACGACTATCCGAGACCTTACATGCAATCACAAGGGGCAAATGGTTCGACCCGTCGCAAAAGCTTGGACTCAGTGTGAGTGTTGGTTATCGTATGTGACTCCGTGTCAATCTGATGTATTCAGTAGATTGTCTCTTATTTTGAATGTCTGTCTCTTGCAGATATGAATCAATGCTGGAAGTCAGACTTAAAGCACAAGTGGCTCAGGCAGCGTAAGTATCATTCTCAAAGTTACTTATCACTGAAAAACAAATCACATTTCCTTGTAATTACACATACTTGCAGAGTATTGTTGAAACTGAAAGCAGTTCATTGTGCCAATTCATCCAGGGACCGTGAAGTGGAGGAGGTTACCAAGGGCAGCCTGATGAGAACTGTCACTCAGGCCTTTGACAAGCTGAAGACACAGATTTCCCCACTGCCCCCATTCGACGAGGAGACAGCAGCGGAGGACAGGTAGAGCTCAGATTAACTGCTTTTTCTTTTTCGTGGGCGGCGTGTGTGTATTTTTGACTTTTCACTTTGTCTTCAGTGTCACTGCCCTCTGCTCTTTGTGTAACATGTTTTGCCAGTGTCCCAGATACCAAAATAGCTCAGTCATCATCAGAGGTAACCAGCGGTCTCATTGGCTCAAACAGCGAGACTGACAACAAGGAGGGTGTTATTTATACAGCACAGAGCTGTTGACACTCCAAGACCAGTCAAGAATCTAAGAGAGGCACCTCAGAGCCTGCTCAGCAACTTATGTGCTCGACTAGATTAAACATATCTCTGCAGCTTGTGTGAGAGGTTACATCTGAACAAGATGGCACTGATCACCTTTGAAGATTTATACACAACTGAGCAGTGAAAATGGGTGTGGTGATAGACCTTGCATAAGTTTACAGGTCAGGTGTAACCGACATCTTAGCTGTTCCCTAATAAGATAGTAGTGCATGCTGCAGCCACATTTGAGTGTACTGTAACTCATATGATGTCAATAAGTCATATTTCACATCCATGCAAAGTACTTGTAGAGAAGTAAGACTCGTAGAGAAGTAATTCCTCTCAGTCGTCACTTAGGACCCATTAGAAGTGTGTGGTGGTGTATTTACCTGCAGAGACTCTATGCTGTGCCTGTAGTTTTTGATTTTCTTCTTATTTTGCTGTATTTGGAATGTTTGTGGGCACAGTGCACAAGTGAGGTCAGGACTTTATAAAAAAGTAGGGATCAGGTGCCAAACCGAAAGCAGTATGCATCCAAGAGAAGAGGAAGCTACAAAAATCATGGACAATGTTTTGAAATAGCCTATAGCAGTGGATCTGTGCCGTGGGATTTTGTGATAACCACACATTATTATGGAAATATTCAACTGGGCCTATACAAAAAGTTATGAATGAGTTTTTAATCAATTTTATCAGTATGTTATGCTCACCCATTTCCTAATAAAGAGCCAAACTCTAGCAAAAAAAGGTCATTTAATTCAATTTAATTAAAAAACCTTCATGGGGAACCTATTTTTAAAAGGAGAAGGCCATGAGTGGGACAATGGATCGCTTTATTGTATAGAGCAAATTACAGCAAGGCTCCAGCAAAGACGACCTACCACCAAAAGAGAAGAGAAAAAGAAAACTGTCAGTAGACAGTATCACGAAAGCTACCTGACTTTTTTTTTTCTTATTTTTTGTCTTAGAAGCTGTTCTGCACAGATATAAATACAGGTGTGCCTTGAGATTGTGGTTCGCCCTTTGGTGTGCCTTGGGCACAAAAAGTTTGAAAACCATTGATCTACAGTATATCATGGCAAAACTACCAGAGAAGTGAATCAGCAGTTGGCGCTGGCGTTCACTTTCATTTTGACATTTGTTTGCGATATTGTTAACAAACACTAACACAACTGCTGCATAGTGTGCCTTTAATTGGCAAAGTGACGTTACGTAGCTTTTGCTAAAACAGCTAAAAAATGACAATTATGGGATGATGGTAAATGCTAACAGCATTAGGGAATCTTCACTAAACTACCAGCTACTTCACAATGAAAAGCAGTTTAACTACATCTTTACCCCTCTCAAATGTAGCTTGCAATACTAGCTTATAAATTAAACTACAACCAAACTACATCACGGAATCTCATATTGTTTCACGGAGGTACACCTGAACTGACACTGAGTGAAACTAGTCATTGAACTACACGTAGGTAACTGCCCCCCAGCAGTGATGCTTTAATATTGTGAAACAGTAACACAACAAAGGCAGAATTATAAACCAAACCAGCTCAGTGAGGCCCATCATAAAACAACTTTCATCTTTCTTGGCAAACATTAGCCAACATTTAACCGTAAGCTACAGGTCGTACCGGACCATGGAAAGCTGTGGCTGGAAAACCCCTGCGTGTAGTGACTTGAGGAAAGGTGTGTTTTATTTTTTATAAGTAACCTTTTCATCTGGAAGAGAAATAATATCCCATTTCCTCCTTGTCTTACTGTAAGGCTCGTAAAACAACACTGCACGTTTGAGTCACTGCTAGTGATGTCAAATTACAGAAATCCCCTTGGAAACAAAAAGTATTCCCTGCTTCCTTATCACGGGCTAATCAGTGATGATTAATGCGTTGTATTACACGTAAGCTTGGGCGATGTTACCATCAGAAAACATTTTTCCTTATGTTGGAGTTGATCTTTTATACAATGTGAAGTGTTTCAGACCTGCTGTTTCCTACAAAGTCTCAAAGGAGGGTGGGTGTCTTAGTCCCTCCTACCTGAGATGCGAGTGGAGGAGGCAAGACCAGCCCATTCGCCAGGAGAAAATGTTGGCATTGTACATTTCTGCAGATATGTTAGATTTGTGTGTTTCATACGTATCATATCAAAGAAAGTGGGAGGTGTGGGGGAATGTGGAGAACGTGACACCTAGACAAGATGGCTGCCAAGCTGCAGACCACTGTTTAAGGCCTACAACGAGCTGTTTTTTTAGGGACCTGTTGCCAACATTTATTCTGGCGAGTGGGTTAAAGAGACACAAGGAGAGAGGAGTTGAGGAAACAGGCATTTAGCAAAAGGAGACATCCGTGCTCCAGAGCTGTAATTTTAAAACGACAACAGTTAAGTATAATGTACAGTACAGTTGCATAACCATTTGTGGGTCACACCTCTTTTATATATCAAGGGTGCCAAAAAGACTTCTGCAAAGGATACACCTGTGCATCGTCACTCAACTCTTTCAGCAAGCCTCCTCTCTTCTCACTCCTTGAGATGCATTCTAGATATTGAGACATCCTTTGAGATGGCACCAGAGATTGATTTCTGGGTCACAGGCAGGATGAGGGAGGAGAGAGGACACGAGGAGGCACAAAAGAGAGAAATTAGGAAAGCCCTTAGACCATTGTGTTAATCACCAATACAGCAGGCGAATGATTTTTTAAAATCTACATTGTGCCTCTTCCAGCTGTTTCATGCCATAATCTCCTGTATGAAACTACTCTTTCCTGCTGTTTGTTTTCCTAAATTTGCTATTATGCAAAACTGTGCGATAATTCTGCATCTACCACTGACGTCTGATTTCTGGACACCCGCTGAGCTGCCACACTGAAGAACATCTTACATTTGGCATATGGGTCAAAAGACCTCCTCTCTGAAGTGCCTCTTAATTAGAATTCCTACTGCGCCTGCACAGAGATTTGGGAATGATTTGCTTCTCCCATGCTGCTTTTATGAACTACTTTTAATAAATCTCAAGGCATCTGGTCCCCTTTATGTGTAAGTGAGAGAAATATCTTTTGGCTTGTGGAGAGTACAATGCTGTTTTGCCCTCTATCAGCCATTTCTTCTCTTTATTGTTGTTATTTTCTGCCACAAGGGCAAATGTGGACTTCCGATCATCTAAGGCTTCTAATGCAGCGCCAAAATCTGTCGTTACGCTATCCGGTTGTGAGTCACTCCCCCTCCACAGATCACGCAGATTCAGCGGTGTTCCTCCTCTGTGTCGTTTCATACTCAACATAAAGCGTTGGCCTTGGCTCCTGCTTCATAAGGGCCTTGTTGTGGTTTATTCCCACTATCTCTCCAAGCTGTCTCATGGACTTTTATTAGAGATATAAACCAAGAAAACACCAGCGACAGGAAGCTGAATGAGACATGCACCAAGATCTGATGCTATAATCCCTCATGCTGTTATTTGCTTTTGCAGAGAAGAAACGCGTCTGACGTCAGACTTCAGCAGCAGCTCCAGTGACAACGATGCCACCTCTCCTGTGGAGATGCTGGAGTCACAAAATGTGCCCACACTGGAGAAACTAAGCTCAACAGAAAGGTGAAATTCCAAAGTATTTTAACCCAATAAAGTACCACCACCTTTAGGGCCTCTCTCTCATCATAAGCATACACTACATATAGGGACATTTTATGTCTAACTTTATGTAATAATCAGCTGCAGCAGAGCACTCGTTGGGCAGTTGCTCTACTTTTAAATAGTACAAGGTCACATTCAAAACCCCCACTGTGGCCCCATCTGTGCATGGATGGATTACTGTATGGGCCTGCCAGGCACAAGCCAAGGGGCCCAAAGTGTCAAGGGCCCCCGTGGCCACCAACTGCAAAACGTCACTCAAATTAACACATACCATTCAGCCATTCAGAATTAGAATGACTTCAAAGGACACAAAACGACCAAAAAAGACACAAAATGACCTCAACGAGACACGTAGTTAATACAGAGAAACACAAAACAACTACAAACAGACAAAAGGGACCTCAAAGAGACACAAAACAACAGCAAGAAGACACAAAATGACAAAAAAAAGACTACATGAGCTCAAAGAGGCACAAAATGACTTCGAAGAGACAGTAAACAACCACAGAGAGACAAAAATGACCTCAGAAAGACACAAAACAACCATAAAAAGACACAAAATGACTTCAGGGAGACACAGAACAATCACAAGAAGACACAAAATGAGCTCAAAGAGACACAAAACAACCACAGAGAGACAAAAAATGACCATAATGAGAGACACAAAACAACTACAGAGACACAAAGGGAAGACAAAATGATACAAAACAACCACAAAGAGACACAAAATGACTTCAAAGAGACACAAAAGGACTACGAGGAGACACAAAGAGACTACAAAGAGACACAAAATGGCTTTAAAGAGACACTAAACAACTACAAAGAGACACAAAATGGCCTCAAAGAGACACTAAACAACTACAGAGACACAAAGGGAAGACAAAATGACACAAAACAACCACAAAGAGACAAAAAAAGGCTTCAAAGAGATATAAAAGGACTACAAAGACACACAAAGGGACTACAAAGAGACACAAAATGGCCTCAAAGAGACACTAAACAACTACAGAGACACAAAAGGAAGACAAAATGACACAAAACAACCACAAAGAGACACAAAATGGCCTCAAAGACACACAAAACAACTACAAAGAGTCACAAAACTACCAAAACAGACACAACATGCCCAAAGTGACACACAAATCAACAACAAAAAGATGCAAAACCACCACAAACTCTGTGTGTCTTGCTCCTGTGTAGGAGAGGTGGTGGTGTCTTCTGCATGTCTGTGCCCTGAGGCCCACTGTCTCATAATGTGCCCATGCATCTGTGCTGTTACCAAAGAAAGAGTCAGAAACAGCTTTGTAATGGTTACAGAGAACAAATTTAATCATGACTCAGTAAAATGCATAAGCAGAGAGGAATGCTGGGACAGACGCTGACATGTTGCCGGACTGGTTGGAGTGGTTTCTGAAGGTTTCTGCAAGCAGATGGTGTAATGATGATGGCTGAATAAAAAAAAAAGGTAGCGCTCGACATTAAACATTAGTAACTCAGGTGATTTTGCTGCCAGAATTTAAATAAGTTGTTCTAAGAAAATTAGACGTCCTTATCTATGCAGACACCCATGCCACTATAATCAATCAATTTTATTTATAAAGCCCAATATCACAAATCACAATTTGCCTCACAGGGCTTTACAGCATAAGACATCCCTCTGTCCTTATGACCCTCGCAGCGGATAAGGAAAAACTCCCCAAAAAAAACCCTTTAACGGGGAAAAAAAAAGGTAGAAACCTCAGGAAGAGCAACTGAGGAGGGATCCCTCTTCCAGGACGGACAGACGTGCAATAGATGTCGTACAGAACAGATCAGCATAATAAATTAACAGTAATCCGCATGACACAATGAGACAATGAAGGAAGGAGGAAATAATAAGCAGAATTTGCTGCTTCTGTGTGCTTGTTCACCTCACCCGACGCTGACAGGGTTTCATTTGAGGAATCAAAGGTTTCAGTCTTGTTTTATTTGGTATTGTGTACCTTTAAATCATGGACTTATTAACTTATGATACCAAAGATGACCTAAAATAAACATGCGACACACACAACAGGCTAACGAAGGAATCCATAAAATGTCTCCTACAAGTATTTCATTTGCCTCTGGTGTCAAGTGTCAAGATTTAAATGCATGTCTCTATTTCAAAGTGTCAAAACGTATTCAGCACCATTACATAAAGCTTTTGTCGTCTTTTCCTTTAAGCCTTAACATCAACAGCCCGGAGGAGAGAGATTTTGAGGTCAAGCAGGCGGATTTGAAAAAACACCTGACACTGACAGAAGTGGATGGGAAACCAAGGTGAGTTTGTCTATGAAAGAGGGACGACTCACCTCACTGCAGAAAATGAAATGTAAAAACAGTCTCAGATAGTAGACGGCTTTGATTGAGATATAAAGCCCTAACAAATGTACTATTGTTCTGTATGCATTAATAATAATGAAAACACTTAAGACACAGACGTGTTTGCCACACGTCCGTCTGTCTGGTTAACTGCACGTTTGTCCTCGTCCAACAAATTGCCATTGTTTAAAAACACAGTTCACATTAGGAAACGCTGGCTGCGACGGCGTACGTCCTTATTTTCTCTTTCTGTGGCTGAAAAAACAGGCGTAATGCTTCGCTGCAGGAGCTGTCTGTTCATTTGTGCAGGATGACTCAGAGCATCCAGCTGCATTGTGTGGAAATTTGGGCATTCATTCACACTGAGATTTAGCAACTGTTCTTTGCATTAATTGGTTTAGTAGCACAAAATACAAATTCTCAGTCCCCTCTAACATGTAGAAAAGAACACTGGATTACTTCTCAGCTGCTGTTACATTAAAAAGTGGCTGGATTTTAATGTGAGGCCTGTCGCTGTTGTGCCTTTTTTTTAGACTTTGTTGAAGCATAGGTATCTGTGTATCTCTGAGCTGATTCTAACAGGCAAGGCAAGTTTATTTATCCAAATCCAAAGTGCTCTACATGATACATTAAAAGCATCAAAACAAAATGCAAAAGACACACATTGTAATAGGACATTTAAATATATTTTAAAGCTCAATTAAAGAGCTAGAGAATAGAAAATAAAATATATTTTTGGAGCCTGACAAAATGTGAAGTGAAGTGAAGGCAGCATGACAGCAGAGCAGCATCTTCAGTCCTCCGTCAGAGTCTGCACAAGATGTGTTCAGGCACAGAACTGAATGTAGGTCATCGAACACACAGTAGCTTACATGGGTCAAGTGCAAGTGAAACACAGCTGGATTGATTTAAATAGAAGTGTATCTGTTCCATCAGATGTGTGTGAGACAAATGAGGGAACAATGCTGCTAAAACATCCACCTCACATGACAGATAAGTTAAACCAGTAGAGCAGACAGCATTTACACTGGACAAAACTAGAAACTCAACACTTTTGGGTTTAAATAAAAGACCCAAGACTTTTTCTCTGCACTTTATAGATATATTTCTCTCAAATTTTGGTCACAAATATGTTAAAAATACATGTTAGTGAGCACTTCTCCTTTCCCAAGACAATCCCTCCACCTGACAGGTGTGACATATCAAGGTGCTGATTAAACAGCATGATCACTACACAGGTGTGTGTCAGATGGTCACAGTCAAAAGACACTAAAATGTGCTGACATTTATTAGGATTTAGCATGACTGGCACGACAGAAATGTCTTTCTTTGGGTCAAAGTTACCCCAAAGTATTTGGTTAGACCATTTGCCTCATGCAGTGTAACACATCAGTTTGCACAAACTTTTGGTAGTGTATACCAATTTGTTTTACACTTTTATTTTCAAATTCAATCAAATGTAATTATACATATATCAAAGAACAAACATACTGTATCACATAACAAATGGGAGCTTTGCATCAACCTATCTTGTTCATTTTTACTTTACAGAAGCAACACAGACAGACACCCAATCACACTGCAATCACACATATTTGACCAGATATTTTTGTCAGCTGGGAAACTCTGGAGAGTAGACAAAAAGTTAATCAATTGTCTTTTTATCACCACTGTACATGTACTTCTTCATAATCATAAACATCTGTATTTATGGCTTCAGTTGCACATGGACAGTGTCAGTCAAACTCCTCCTCTCCACTGGGGTTATGGAGGAGTTGTGTCCTAAGTCAGTCTCAGCAACTGTAGTATCACTGGTGTCCACTTAAAGTTAGCGCGTGGCCAGCTGTGGCTGTTCTAAGATGATCTTGCAGGTGAAGATGCTGGATGTGGAGGTACACGTGGTCTGCGGTTGCAAGGCCGGTAAAATGTACTGTCAAATTCACAGACACGACAATGGTAGTTAAATTAACATTCTGTGCGCAGGCAGCAGCTCTGGTGGACATTCCTGCAGACAGCATGCTCTCTCAAAACGTGACACGTGTGGCATTGCATTATGTCATCAAACTGCACATGTGAGACTGACCTTTTATTGTGACCCGCCCAGGGCACACCTGTGTAGTAACGATGCTGTTAAATCAGCACACCTGTCAGGTAGACAGATTGTCTTGGGAAAAGGAGAAGTGCTCACTAACAAGTCTTTGATCTTAATTAATGCTTGTGAGAAATGGGAGAAAAAACAAGTGTTGATTATATTTTTGGGTGGGTTCACATTTTTAATTAGCATTTAGGCTTCAGTCATTAAATGCAACATTAAATGCAAGGTGGTGACGATTAAGAGGAGCCCACAGCTGGAGAGGCCTTTTAGCACCAATAGGAGAACAGTATGGAATTATGATGTGTATATTTGGCCGTGATGTGGATGCAGGGGTGTAAATATGGACAGGGCAGACAGTGTGATTGCACTGGGGCCCTGGGGTGGAGGGGCCCGTAGGGATACAGGCCCTTGTAAGTGATTCAGATTTCCACCTTGGAAATATACCCGTGTGTTGATGTTGTCCAATGTCACGTCTCTATTTGTGTCAAGACAATACATGCACGATAGCGTGCACTAGGACCCATTGTAATAGTGGAACTAACTTCCTTACACCACTGTATGGATGTATATATAAAATACAAAAAAAATAAAACAGAATATGTGTTTGTGTGTCGCAGTGTGTCTGGGTGGACGGGCCAGCCCCAGTCAGTGTGCCTGTTTCACAAAGGAGACCAAATCCTGGCGATTAACGACCTGCACACCAGCAGCGTGGAGGAGTTCAACATGTATCTCAGCAAGTGTCTCAAGAACGAGGTACGTTCAGGAGCCAACGTTAAGCACAGCAGTGTCCATGATGTGTGATAAGTCATCTGAGGGGTGAATGATTTCTGTCTCCAGGTGAAAGTGACCATCCTGCGGCTGCCTGGATGCCCTCCGCTGCACTCACCAAACTGTGTGTGCACTGACTGACTGCACACTGACCGTCAGAGATGAGACGTCCACCATATGCTGGTTTTTACCATGTATAGACCACTTTAGACAACTGACAGTATTTCCCCAGGGCTGTGGGCAGTTCCTACTGATCTGTCACTCTGCAAGTTTACTCCATTTAAATGACTAGAGGAGCTTAAAGTGAAGGTAGAGGAAACAATTATTCAATGACTTAGGTCACAATGTATGTGATTATTAACATGTAAAAACACCAAATGCATTTTTGTTTCCAAGCAATCTTTGTATAAACAATGATTTGCAGTTTTAACAGAGCGTGATATATGACGTGATTACGTCACTGTGTATTGTATCTACTGTAGATAAGATGTTTGGTCTCTGAAGCTGTCTCTAAAAGGAAACAAAAGGCAGAGGTTCTACTGAAATGTATTTCCTCATACCGCCTGTATGATGCTAAAAAGAAAGGACTCTAACCACCTGCATGAGATGGTGCAATACGCACATGGTTACTGTAAATAGACTTATGTAGGAATGCTATTTTTAAAACTTCAAGATGACAGGAAGCGATAGCATTTATCAAGGTGATTTGAAGAATGATGATGATGACGCTATTTTCCTGTGACTAATGTGATCGACAGTTTTTGAATCACACTGTCAGTGTAGGTCCACTAAAAGTGCTTGTTTTTGCCACTGACAGGCTCAGATTATCACTGTAAGGCTGCGTTCTGAATCACATACTTTTTACTCCCAGTACGTCCTGAAGTTGCCTTTAAAAAGTACTGTTGCATGCAGTATCCACAATCAGGACACACTACTTTCTCACAACATAACGCCCTTAACTTTGTCCCTTTCTCATATATCCGTTACCTTGGAGATAAAACAAAATGCCGTTCACTGAGTACCGAGACCTCTCCTGTTGTTACTTTGCAGTGCATGTAGTTTTAATTTTCAAGTACTAACTAAATTGTAGATTCTAGCATATTCACTGACTATAGATTTTTCTGTCAGTCTTGTTTTCATAGTCCTTTTGTCGTTGGTAATCTTTATGATTATAATGTTCACTTAAACAATCAATATTCCTCTTATTACTGTTTGACTGGTCACCAGTCTATCGAATGCGTTGTCATCCGTCCTTGCAGCTGTCAACAAGCTGTCAGTCTCTGTTTGCAGCTCTGTCAATGTGACGTTTGTTCTGTTATGCAGAGGATTGTGGGTGAGAATAGCCAAGAAAGCACTGCATACTGCATTTAGTGTAGTGGTTAGAGCACTCGTCTTCATGCGGAAGGTCCAGGATTTGAATCCTGCCATGGTCGACGTCAGCAAAGGCATGCAGTCGCAAGAGGTTACCACTGCCGAATCAAACGGGATCAGATTCCTTAAGGAGGCTTCAGGATAAGAAGTAACTCCGAAATCTGAGCCTAGTCCTCAACGAGGGCGCGTCTCAAGCCCGTTGTGGACGGGAGGTTCCAGACGTGAAAGCAGATACATTCATTTGACATACTTAATCTAATCCTGGAGATTAACCTTTTCCTTAAAGAGTAAGATCCTCTTTGTTTAGCCTGAAACAGCCCCGAAATCGCATTCACCAAACCCACCAGACTCCATTGAAAAAAACAGTATTTTTATCAGCGTAAAACACACATCATTAAAAGTCTACAAGACACGAAATAAGACTCACTAAAGCAGTCTTGGTTTCTTTTTCCACTCTTCCAACAATCACCAACTCTAGTCTGGTTGAAATAAACTCTTAATTCATCCAGTTAGATTTAAAAAAATATGCTGTCTCTATACACACTAAAATTACTGTTTATTTAAATGGAGTCTGGTGAGTTTGGCGATGGTGATTTCAGGGCTGTTTCTGGTTACACAAAAGGATCTTACCCTTTAACAAAAAGGTCCATGTCAGACACAAGGAAACTTACCCTTTAAATCATATTTTGGGAAGATGTTGCCACAGGTATCTAAACCCCAATTGTGTCGTGATGACTGTAACTTGAGCAGGAACTGAGATGCATCACCAGCGTGAATGTCATCACTCAGCAATGCTGATTCATTTCCAGTTTGCTCAGTACGTGGCACCTGTGATGAAATGTCTTTGTACACCATGCCCATCCTATGACGCCTACTTGAGAGCACAAATAGAAGGGCACATTGTATGTTAAGGTGCTTTTGTTAGATACAAAAAAGGCATATGCCAAATTTTCCTTTCCTTATTTATCTTCGGAACATTTTGACAGTGATTAGAAATGTTTGAATAAGAAAAAGATTTCAGAAGAGACCGGTATTTCATGTCGTTCACACCTCAGGGAGAGTCTTGTGAATTAATATGCAGACAGAATGGTGTTGCACCTCGGGCTGTGTTTCACCCATTTCTTTCCAATCTGAAGCAGAAACGTGACTCAGCCGGCCGAGGACAATGTCCCGGAATGTAGTTTTAATATTGGGAAGATGGTTTTTAATCCCTTTTTAAATTACGTCTGGTGACCAAAGCCACTCCCGGACAAAGACAACATCAAATGGAAATTATCTCCGAGGCCTGCTCGCTTGAAGTGCTACAAACCATTCTGAGTTTTATATTAAAAAACGCTAAATTATGTCCACAGAGGGGAAGGACAAAGCTAAACTCTCGACATTAAAAAAAAACACTTTCTGACTCCAATATTCAGATGAGCTTTCCCATGACTTCTTATCAGCCTCACCGAGATTAATGTTTCAAGTTTTAATGGAGCTATTAAACAGATATGAGCTGGTACGATGAAATTATTCAGAACATTTACTCCATTATTCAACTGTGATGCCAAAAGCTGTGCTGTATTATAAATACGCTCTGTTACAAATAAATGTATTCTCTGCCAGGGTGCAGCACATGCAAGTTGTACTGGGACATTGAATCTGTGTTATATTTGTAAAATGATCATGAATAAATTTTATCAGATTGTTAACTCACTGACCATTTGTGTTTCTTCAGCAGCTTTTCTCTCAGACTGACTGGTTTCATAAAACCTCTTGTAACATTTTAAAGGATCATGAGCTCACTGTTGCATTTTCTGAAGCATAAGGAGACAGCTGAGAGGTATCTAATTATGTAAAGCTGGCAGGGGTTCAGTATCCTGCGCAGTGGGGTGTATGCTAGCAGGGAAGGAACCTGAACTTCCAGTCTCCTTCCTCATCTCATCACCTGCAGGCCAGAACATACCGAGTGATCAATATCAGCATCTATAAGGAATACACAGGACACTGGAAGATTTTATGCTACGCTGAAAATCGTTTTAGTTTCTATAAGGGATAGACTCATTATTTGTGGACACAATCCTCTCACATACTCATATACAATACATACTGTATATACATTGTACTAATTATTTTACTTCATCACATTAAAGGTGTGTGGGATTTAGCGGCATCTAGTGCCGAGGATTGCTTATTGCAACCTGCCAAAAATGCGTATGGTAGGGCAAGTGTCTGGTTTGTGTGTTCTGGGCTGCTGTAGAAACATGGCGGTGCAACATGGCGGACTGCATGGAGGAGGAGGACCCGCTCCCTTTGTAAATATGACACGGCCTATTCTAAGGTAATGGGAACACAACAATATTTATTTTCAGGTGATTATACACCAAGAAAAACATACCTATATTTCATTTCTGCAAACATATCACACTAAATACTGCACACTGGACCTTTTATTCCTAAATATCTTTATATCAGATGTTTTTGTGCACCACATTAAAAAATAAAATAAAAACTTAATGTGTTCAAGGATTTCCAGCACCCGGGCTAACCCCAATTAAGACATTCTGCACCTACAGACTGAACTAAGACATTAAACACCCTGCTCGATCCAATTTCAGTTTCCCAGAGCTTAACAAATAGTATGCACGCCTACGGGAGGAAGATGATACACCATTATTATTAGCCATGGCTCACTGGGAATGGCTTGCTGTGGGCAGAGAGAGTAATACATTGGATTACATCAGCCACGTAGTAAAATGGATGATGAGCACGATGCCACATGCATGACTTATAATAGGAGAGATAAAAGGTGTAGTGACATGCCCAGAGTTGAGTTTAAAATGGCCATTCACTGCTACACCACAAAGGAAAATGTTAAGAATCACTGACTCTACACCCTGAGATATATTGTGTGAATCTACAGCACATCAAACCTCTTCAGTGTTCAGATTTTGTGACAAACACTTCACTCACTCTGGCCCCTACGATTGAACACACAGCTCAGACAGACGGGATAAGATGACGCTGTTCTACATGAAAGGAGAAACCTCACAGTGACTCTGTGGAGAGCCTGTTTTACAGAGACTGACGTTTAGTATCTCTGCACCACATCTCACTGCTGTCTCAGAGATAAACTACTGAAAGGTCTGACGGCACGCTGTTCAAGACAAGCTGGCGTTTTGAAAGCCACGACACAAATGACAGTCCTCCTTAACACTGTATTTGCCTGAAGATGCACTGATGAGATTGCACACATCTGAATGAGATGTCATTTTGACATACAGTAGTAGACGTACAACCTTAAAAACCATTGATTATGCCAAGTTTGTGGATTTAAAAAAAATCTGGGTTCCCACAGCCTCTTAAATATCAAATTTAAGGACTTTGGAGGCCCAATTCTTTCATATTTTCGGCCCCAACACCCACAGTTTGAGACATGACTTAAGGTTAATTACTGCTACAACACTGAGAATTTTTATAATGAGAACTAGCAGGCTTTACAGACGCTCAATTAAAACGAAAGAGTGGCTTGAATGTGTGAACAGTGATGGCAGATTATCTGGTCTCTTGCCAAAACTATATATATTTATATTATGCAAGTGGACTCTAGTGCAGAGCCTTTTTACAAGTTAAAGAGCTAAGTAACTCTGAGTTTATTTTGTAAGTAAATGTCTCGGTGAGCCACAAGTCCTCGTACTTACATGTTCCAGGCATAGCTAAAGGTTTGCTTGACTTTTTTCTCGCTTGCTATTGTTTAACCCTCATCACTTGATGTTAATCACTCATGCACGCACCTGACCGTCACACTTTCGAGGCAGGTAGCACATGACATACTGTGGGAGATAAATGCAGACAGCTGCACATAGCCTATTGACTGTCTTGAATCTCATGCACAATGATTTTTTTTTTTTTTGACGTGTCATATGAGCAGTCGGAGGAAGAAGTTTAACGCACTACAACCACCTCGCAAGAAACTGCAGGCCTGGCTGATGCTCTCAGAGTGGGGCAATCTTTTATAAGGAGAGACTTGAGAGATTTGGTCCTAAGTATACTACAGCACATAGGCTGAAGGCAACAAACTGTATTTGACGACTAACGTTTCAATGCCTGTTGCGTCTTCATACAGTCTCCACCCCTCTGTTGGGGTACCTAGCACACAGATCTGGTGCTAAAAAGTGGAGCTGTGAACACTGCAGTCTGTTGATTGGTCAGTAGAGGGCGGTCACTCTGCTCAGGGCTGAGTTGTGGCTGGTTTTGAAGGTTATGTAATCACTGTTCATACTGTGGAGAGTTTTATTAGTAAACTAACTATAAAATGAAAGGATGTTTTGCTGCCTCTTGCAGCAGCTGGAGTTGGAGAAAATAACTTAATTCACTGGGCTGACTGCCGGTGACTTTTAAGGTGGAATGTTAACTTGTAATGTTACTCAATGTATGATGACAACTAACATTTCCAGTAGTTTTTATCGTCTCTCTTGGATGACACACTTTCAGTAATGAGTGGATCTTCAAGCAACCGGATTATGTGAACTACATATATCCCAATCCTCATCGTAGAGCGTAGTTCCTGTGGGCTACGGCAACACTAAACCCCCGAGCTTGCCTGAGAAGGATTAAACACACAAAACTGCCATTTTTAATATCCCATGGAGAGAGACTCTCACTGCAGCCTGTTTTATTTTGTTCTGAAAATGTCAGCGTACAGCCTCATTCTGTGGACGATAAAGGAGGGAACACAGTGAGTGCTGTACGGAGCAGTGAGTGACAACAACCCCGCCCACATGAAAGCGTATTTCCATGTCTGAAGGGTTCCTTTTGGTTCCAGAGGTACCATACTGAAAGTGTTTAGTGGAAACCGGGCTTAAGTCTTCAAATGCAGTCGCCTCAAGCCCATGTGCTCCAGCATACTTTGGACCAAATCTCTGAACTATCTCCAGATGTCATATGAACATGTTAATGGTGCAAAAAATAAAAACAAGGGAAAAGGTGTTAAAACAAAATTAAAACATTTATTTTTCCAAGCATAAAAATTTATATTAAATTACAGATAATTATGAAATTGCATTGTTTCAGTTCTATTATTTCAGTTCTGTTGTTTAATACTTGTGGATGACACAGGTCCGACTGTAGACGTGATGCGACCTCAGATCCTGTTTACACTGAGCGGCTTTCAGACTTGTTTTCTATCTTAATTGAGCACATTGTGAATAAAAGCAGAGCCTTTCTATTAAATTGGTTCAAGCGTGTATACGTGACCTTTCTATTCAGAAAAGAAATACAGTTCACCTGCTTCATCACAACCTCTCGCTCTGCGTTGAATTGCTAGTGTTACAAGTTCAGCCGTCTGAGGCCAGCAGCTTCAATAAAAGCAACACAATGAGTAGTGTTTAAATATTTGTTCCCCATGGCCATACAGGATTGAGAATTAATTGGTTTTGCTCTTATTACCGCCGAGCTACAGAGGCAATTTCATGTCCAGCAGTTCACCTGTAAATAAGCTACGGGTTAGCTTTAGTTTCCGTGAGCCACTCGCTGAAGCACTTCTCCATGGCCTTCCTGCTCGCCCAGCTGCCCACGTTGACGGTAGGGATAATCTTGAGG